CATCATCATCATCCGCATCATCATCATCAGCATCATCATCATCATCATCATCACCAGCATCAGCATCAGCATCAGCATCATCATCATCAGCATCATCATCATCATCATAAGCATCATAAGCATCATCATCGTCAGCATCATCATCATCATCATCGTCATCATCATCACCATCATCATCATCATGATCAGCATCATCATCATCAACAACGACCACATCATCATCATCATCATCAGCATCATAATCATCAACATTATCATCACCAACATCATCATCATCATCAGCATCATCATCATCATCATCATCATCATCATCATCATCATCATCATTACCATCATCATCATCATCAGCAGCAGCATCATCATCATCATCAGCATCATCATCAGCATCATCAGCATCATCATCATCATCATCGTCATCATCAGCATCATCATCATCATCCGCATCAGCATCATCATCAGCAGCATCATCACCATCATCATCATCATATTCATATTCATCATCATCATCAGCATCAGCATCATCATCATCATCATCAGCATCCTCATCATCATAACCATTATCATCACCATCATCAGCATCAGCATCATCATCATCATCATCATCAGCAGCAGCAGCGGCATCATCATCAGCAGCAGCAGCATCGGCAGCATCATCATCAGCAGCATCATCAGCATCATCATCAGCAGCAACAGCATCAGCATCATCATCATCCTCATTATCATCATCATCATCATCAGCATCATCATTAGCATCATCAGCATCATCATCATCATCATCATCATCATCATCATCATCATCATCATCACCAGCAGCATCCTCATCAGCATCGTCATCATCATCATCATCGTGGTCGCCATCATCATCATCGTCAGTATAGTCAGCATCATCAGCATCAGCATCAGCATATGCGTCAGCATCATCATCATCAGCAGCATCAGCAGCAGCATCATCATCAGCAGCATCATCATCAGCATCATCATCATCATCGTCAAAGTCAGTAGCATAACTAGCATCATCATCATCATCATCAGCCGCATCATCACCATCAGCATCATCAGCGTCAGCATCATCATGATCATCAATTTCATCAGCATCGTCAGCAGCATCATCATCCGCATCATCATCATCATGATCATCATCGTCATCATCATCATCAGAAGCATCATCAGCATCATCAAACATCATCAACAGCATCAGCATCCTCACCATCAGCATCATCGTCATTAGCATCACCATCATCAGTGTCAGCATCATCAACGGCATCAGCAGCATCATCAGAATCCTCAGCATCAGCATCATCATCAGTATAAGCATCAGCATCAGCATCAGAAATCGTCAGCATCATCAGTACCATCAGCAGCATCATCATCAGCATCAGCACAACATCATTAGCATCATCAGCATCATCAGCATCGTCATCATCATCGTCATCGTCATCGTCATCATCGTCATTATCAGCATCGTCATCATCATCATCATCATCATCATCAGCATCATCATCATCATCATCATCATCATCAGCAACAGCATCCACCGCATCATCATCATCATCATCATCATCATCATCATCATCATCATCATCATCAGGAGCATCATCTTCATCATATTCCGCGTCAGCATCCTCAGCAGCATCATCATCAGCATCAGTATCCTCGTCTGCATCGTCAGTATCATCATCAGAATCATCATCATCACCATCATCATCACCCTCGTCATAATCATCAGCATCGACGTCGTCATCGTCATCATCCGCACCATCATCAGCACGATCAGCATCATCATTATCAGCAGCAGCACCACCATCATCATCATAATCATCATCATCAGCAGCATCATCAGCAGCAGCATCATCGTCGTCATTATCATCATCATAATCATCAGAATCATCATCATCATCATCAGCATCATCACCATCATCATCATCAGCGTCGTCGTCGTCATCGTCACCATCATCAGCATCATCAGCATCATCATCAGCATCATCAGCATCATTCATCATTATTAGCAGCAGCACCACCATCATCATCAAAAGCATCACCATCATCAGCATCAGCATCATCAACAACATCATCATCAGCATCAACAGCAACATCATCAACAGCATCATCATCACCAGCAGCATCATCATGAGCATCAGCGCCATCATCATCCTAATCATCATCAGCATCATCAGCATCATCATCAGCATCATCATTATTAGCAACAGCACCACCATCATCATCAGAAGCATCACCAGCATCAGCATCAGCATCATCAACAATTTCATCATCATCAGCATCAGCAGCAACATCATCAACATCATTTGCATCATCATCATCAGCATCATCATCAGCATCAGCGCCATCATCGTAATCATCATCATCATCAGCATCATCAGCATCAGCATCAGCATCATCATCAACATCAACAACATCATCATCGTCATCGTCATCATCAGCAGCGCTAGCACCGTCATCATCATAATAATCATAAGTAACAAGAACAGGAATAAGAATAAGAGAAATAACAATTGTAATCAGTGTACTAATCATCATCAGCAGCAGCATCATCACCAGCAGCAGCAGAACCAGCTCATCCTCCTCATCATAATCATAATTATCGGCATCATCATCAGCAACAGCATCAGCATCATCCTCAGCATCATCATCACCATCACCATCACCATCAGCATCATCGGCATCACTATCATCAGCATCATCATCAGCATCATCATCTGCGTCATCGGCATCATCATCATCGTCAGCATCACAAGAGATCATCACTATCAGCACTAGCATCATCATTATCAGCATCAGCATCAGCATCATCAGCAACAGCATCATCATCCACATCCTCAGGAGGAGGAGGATGATGAGGAGGAGGAGGAGGAGGAGGAGGAGGAGGAGGAGAAGGAGGAAGAGAAGGAGGAGGAGAAGAGGAGAAGAGGAGGAGGAGAAGAGGAGAGGAGGAGGAGAAAGAGGAGAAGGAGCAGATCTGGACGACGACGACGTCGACGGGGAGGGAGGGGTAGCAGGAGGAGAGGGGGAGCGAGATGGGAGGGGGGCAGGTCGAAGAGGCGGCAGGGAGAGGGAAGGTCGACGAAGGGGTGGACAGCAAGCTATGTGCGCTCTCGCCACACCTGACACCCTATCCCCCCCCCCTCCCATCCCTTCCCATTGCGCTGAATGTGTCCTATCCGCGGACGCGCGCCATAGTGGCATGCGCGGTAGGAAAAGGGGAGATGCGTACATGGGAGGAGGAGCAGTGGCGGGTGAGCAGGAGGATGAGCAGGAGGAAGAGGGAGAAAACGAGGAGGAGGTGGAAGGAGAAGGACGAGGACGAACAGCAGCAGCAGCAGGAACTGGAGCGGAAGGAGCGGGAGGAGCAGGAGAACCAGGGGAGACGGAGGAGCGGAAATGAGGGTGGCGACAACGATGAAAGGACTCGGATCCGGTGAGTGGCCCGCGCTGGGGCAAGAGCGCCATTCTGAACGACCAGGGCAAAACGCCGATCCGAAAATGAGGCCCACGCTGCAGCGGGAGTACCATTGTGAAACACTGAAACAATGATATTGCAAAAATGGATGAAACAAAACAGTAATTGTCCATTCTGTGTAAAAGCTCTCCTTCCCTCCCCATCGATATGTAACTCCCCTCGCCCCTCCCCTCTCCTCCCGTCCTCCCGCCCTCCCCGTCGTTCCCATCCTCCTCTCTCGGGGGTAAAAGAACAAAAAAAAAAAAAAAGCAGCGATGCCAATACTCCGCGACCTCTCCCATGGCGCGCTCTTACCAGAGTTGCGAAGCCGGTCCAGCCATGGCCTCGAGAGCCTCCCAAGAGGCCCAAAAAGACGAAGACGAGGGAAGGGCAGCAGTAACAGTACCTGTAGCTCTTCTGATTCGCCCTCCCAACGGACTCTTCACTCTCGCGCAGAGGATCTGGATTGGAGAGAGGACCGCATAGGTTGGTCGATGTGCGTAGAGGCCTCCTAGATGGGGTCCGAGTAAATTGCGTCGGAGGATCGCGCCGCAACCTCAGCATCGCCGATGCATCAGCCATGCATCGGCGACGTCGCCGCTGCATCGGCGCCATCGGCATCGATAAACTCTGGTTCCAAATAGAACCGCATCGCCGATGCATCAGCGATGCAAAGCGATCCTCCGACCCCATCCACTCCAACTCCATCTGGGAGTCCTACAATGCGTCCTGAAACGGCACCAGCCCAGCGTGCGCCGCCGGCGAGTTCGGGAAGACCTCGGGGGCAGCCCCCTCTATCCTCATCCTCGTCCTCCTCATCCTCCTCCTCATCATCAGCATAATCAGCATCGTCATCATCATCATCATCATCATCATCATCATCATCATCATCATCATCATCATCATCATCATCATCATCAACATGATCATCAGAATCATCATCATCATCATCATCATCATCATCATCATCATCATCATCATCATCATCATCATCATCATCATCATCATCATCATGATTATAATAATGAGAATCATCATCATCCTCATCATCATCATCATCATCATAAACAGCATCATCATCAGCAGCATCATCATCATCATCGTCATCAACATCAGCATCACCATCATCATCATCATCATCATCATCATCAGCATCATCATTATCAGCATCACCATCATCATCAGAAGCAGCAGCAGCATCATCAGCATCATTATCATAATCATCATCAGCAGCATCATCATCATAAGCAGCAGCAGTATCACCCATCATTAACATCGCCATCATCATCAGCAGCATCATCATTGTCGTCGTCGTCATAAAAACCGTCATCATCGGCATCAGCATCGTCATCGTCATCATCATCGTTATCATCATCAGCATCATCATCTTGGTCCTCGTCATCATCATCGTCATCATCATCAACATCTTCACCAGCATCACCACAATCAGCATCATCATAAGCAGCATCACCATAATACTAATCATCAGCAGCATCAGCATCAGCATCATCACCATCATCATCAGATGTATCATCATCAGCATCAGCGCTGGCGTCAGAATCATAATCAGCATCATCATCAGCATCATCATCAGCAACGTCATCATTATCATCAGCAGCAGCAGCATCAACATCATCATCATCATAATCAGATTTGTGCTGCTCCTCCCTGTCCTCCTCCTCCTCCTTCTTTTTCCTCCTCATCATCATCCTTGTCTTCATCCTCATCCTCCTCCTCATCCTCCTGCTACTCCTCCTCACCCTCTGCTTCCTCATCCATCCTCCCCCTCTTAGGGTATGACGGCTTCCCCAGCCCATTGCTCCACTGCATGCTCCTCCACATCTCTACTGGGCTGGGCATCGTTTCTGCATGGCCTGACGGGGTTACTTTGTTTGGTCGCGAGCGCAAACGGTACAGCCGCGCGCCGTCAGAACGAAGCAACAGTGCAACGACCTAAATTACGCACTAAGCGCACAGGAGCGAACTAGGCTGGTGGGGTTACTTTTTTTTGGTCGGCGGCCGCGCGACAACGGTCTGGCGGCGACATGCGATGTCCGGGACGGCGGAACAAAGCTAATTGCACACGAAGCGTGCGGTGCAGTCGGTGGGGTTACGCGGAGCGTCTAGAGTTTCGAAGCTAATCCAGCGGCGGCGACGAGGGTCCTTCTCTTCCTCTGACTGGCCCCGACCCGAGTCCCGCCGAACTCGAGTCTTACGTTCTCCCGAGAGCCTCGTCGAAGACATTGGCGATCGGAAGATCTGGATACGTGTGTTGATCTCACCTAGGATATTCGCCCCCATCATTAGGTCGGGCATGCCCTCCTGCAGGCGGATGTTGGAAGAAAAATGTAAGCTATTCAAACATAATCAAACATGTTCAAAAGATCGTCAACCGACTATTGTTTGCCTATTCTTGACTATCCCTCCTGTGAGAGGGACATGCCCGACCTGACCCTATCGTCGCCCCCCCTCTCGCGGGCCACCCACCCTGAGGAGCAACGACAGGGGGGACTGGCATAGGGGGGATGCATCGACCTGGAATCGGCGATACATCGCCGATGGATCGGCGATGGGCCCCCGATGGTGAATCCGCACCTTCCTGTGCAGGTTGGGGCTATCGGGCCCCTATCGGCGATCAATGAGCGATCGGGGGTCGATGCATCCCCCCCTAAAGTGTGGGCGCGGCCGCAAGAAACCGTCGCAAGAAACCCAAACCCTGAGAACCCGTGCGCGAGGTGCACCTGAGGGGAAACCCGGAGCACCCTGAACGCAGCAGCTCCTTCAACGGCTGCGGGAAGCCACCGCGCAGCGCGAGGAGCGAAGAGACCCAGGATACCCTGACGAGAAGCATATATGGCTTCTCGATGCGCGCCCCCACCTGCATGCCTCTCCCCCCCCTGTCGTTGCCCCCGACACCCCCCCAGACGGCGCAATCGGCAGCCCGGCGGCCCGGAGCCTCGAGGACCCGGATCCCGTTCGTCTCCGAGGGCTCCGTGACGTCGAAGCGGACGGTGGCCCCTAGCAGGCCTCTGCGGCGGTCCAGCGGAGCGTGCCATGCCCAGAGCTCTAACAGCCCCATCATTGAGTGAAAGATGTGTGTTTAAAATTGTAAAAAGCGTGTTCTAAAAATGCTTAAAGCATGTTATTAACATAGTTTAAACATGTTTGAAACATGTTTTAGACATCTGGAAATTATTTGGCACCATGTCTCCTCTCCATTAGTCGCCTTCCACAAGCCTAGAGGCCTCCTAGATGTGGGGTCGAAGGATCGCGCCGCATCGCCACTAGTTCGCCGAAGTATCGGCGATGCATCGGCGATGCATGTGCGACGTCGGCGTGGAGGAAATCGGACCTCTCATCGAGCCACATCGCCGATGCATCGGCGATGCGGCGCGATCCTCCGACCAAATCTACTCCGACCCCGTCTAGGAGGCCTAGAATGCCATCACTTCGACGCTTGGAAATGGGCACCAACACCAACAAAGGGGGGCTACCTCCACTGGGGAAAGATTATCCTGGACTTCAGTGCTGGTGGTAATATTTCGGCCACCTAGACGCCCGAAGACTACCACCATCACCAAGATCGGGATCGTCCTCCTTCGGTCAAGGCACACCGCCGGGACTGGTGCTGGTGCTCATCTCTATGCCTCCGAAGCATGCAGTCCCTGCCCCATCGCCTCCTCCCTCGCTCCCCTCCCTGGAGAAGGGAGCAGGGAGGAAATGGAGGGAGGAGGGAGGAGGGAGGAGAAGGGAGGAGGGAGGAGGGAGGATGGAGAAATGGAGGGAGGAGGGTGGAGGAAGGAGGGTGGAGGGAGGAGGGAGGAGGGAGGAGGCAGGAGGCGACAACGCTCGGCAGCCCGCGCGGACTTCTGGGGTCTGCGCCGAGAGCCCCCTCCCCGAAACGCGCCAGGGAGGGCGGCGCTTTCCTGGGGGCTGGGCGCGCCGACCCAGGAGGTCTGCGCGGGAGCGCCGAAGGTTTATGCTTGTGAAGGGGCCCTGGGACACACAAATAAATACACACAAATAAAAAGATTCCCCATATTTTCCCATATTTTCCTGGTTTCTGTCTTCCCCCCAATTCCCATATTTTCTCATATTTTCTGGGGAATCCTCCTCCTCCTCCTCCTCCTGCTCCTCCTCCTCCTCCTCCTTCTGCTCCTCCTCCTCCTCCTCCTCCTCCTCCTCCTCCTCCTCCCCTGGAAGGCTCCAGCACGTGCACGAGATGACTCAAGATGGCTGCAACTCGACCGGCCACGAAGGGCAACGTGATGGGGGGACCAGCTCAGGCGGGGGAACCTCAGGCTTGAGCTCGAGGCGCCTGATTTCGCGATTCGTGCTGCGCGAGGCGCGAAACGCCAAGAACTTCGCGCTCTCGCGCCGGCCCCCAGCGGAGAAGAGGAGGACGAGGAATCGGAGCCGACCCGCGAAGCGCGAAGCGCGAATAACATCGCACCCTTGCTGAATCGGCGATGCACGGACGATGGATCGGCGGTAGGCCCTCAATAGCGAATCGGGGCGGCCCTGGGCGTCTGTGTGTGTGTGTGTTTTCCCCTTCTGAGCTTGTGCCGTTTATCTCGTGTGCCGCTAATCTTGGTCGGAATCATGCGAACGCCCTTGCGGGCGTGCTGAGGGGGAACGATCCGTGTCACATAACACCATGCGGGCCACCCTCGCGCGTCGGCCACGCGAGCATGTCGAACTCCTTCCAAAACCTTCACCACCGAGGCGACGACGCCGTCATCGTCGTCGGCGTGATCAGCAACAGCGCCGTCACTGGCCGTGCCATCGTCGTTGTCGCCATCGCCGCCAGCATCGTTACTACCATCATCGTGTCTAGATTCGAGTTCCTGCCTCCTCCTCCTCGACACACTCCACACAAAGAACATGGGCATCCATGTACGCAGTCAGTGGCGAAGAACCGCCGGACAGGTCAGACAAGGCTGAGAGGCCGGGTGTCGAGGGTAAGCCATCGGGGACCATGGGCAAGACTGAGCGCGGAAACGTCGTGATGATTTTAGTCAGCGTCAAGTCGCGGACCACCCTCCCCGACTGGCGACGGCTGGCATGGAACACGACCAAGATCGGCATTGACAAAATCCTGCGCGACGCCTTGATCATGGTCCCCGTACCCTTCCCTCGAACCAGGCAGCTCATGCCCCTCGCTTCCTCCATCTATACCTTCCTGCCTCCTCCTCCCTCCCATCCCTCCCCCTTCCCCTCTCCCCTCCCCTCCACAATCTCATCCTCGCAATTTGAGCACCGCGGTGCTGGCTGAACTTCTGTGCTGATCCTGGTCTGGCTCTCCACGTGGGATCGGCCTGCCACCTGTCTGACCCTCTGCCCCACACCTGCGCTTCCGCCAACTGGCCTTCTGGGCGCCCTCGCATGGCCGGCTTGCTTCCCGCTGAAGCTGAGCTTGGCGGATGCCGGCATCCCCGTCCTCGTCGTCGTCGAGGTCGACGTGTTCGCCGCCGCCAACACCGCAGGCGCCGTCTTCCTTACCCTTCCACTCATGCACTCCACAAGCACCGCAAGCATTCGGCAGATCACCACCTTCTCCACAGGGACCCCGCGTCTCCAACAAAAGCTCCTGTCGCTCCTCATCATCATTCTCATCATCCTCCTGATCCTTCTTCTGCACGCCTCGTCCCCGTCCGCCTCCTCATCCTCCTGGACGCAACAGTCACGTTGATTCGCGGTGTTAAAGTCCCTGGGAGAGTGTTCTGGCACGATTTCGGATAATCGGGACGCATCAGTCACGTTAATTCGTGGCACGATTGAAGATTCTCAGACACTTGTCTTCCGACGTGGCGCTCCCCGCAATGAAAATGAATCCCACCCGTGGGCGAAGGTGGCATAACGAGGTGTTTTCTTCCCTCTGTCAAAACCTCCTTCCCCTGCTCGGGAGAGGGGTCCCCATGGGCCTAAACGGGGTGGGGGGGAGCCCGAGGTGTAAGAGGGCCCTTTTTGTTCCAAGATGGCTCCAAGAGCGCCCCGGATAGTGCAAAATGGCATCCGAGATGACTCAAGACACCTTAAATTGCTCAAGATCGCTTCCGACATACCTCCAAGCGGCTCCAAGGCCGCTCCAAGATGATTCCAAATGCTCTCCGAGCCTCTCGAGGCACCCTCCGAGAGGACAAAATCCCTCAACCACCTGGGGGATGTCCATGCTGATTGTCTCCTCGCCTCGTGGCTCCTCGTCCTCCGCCATCCTTCTACTGGTTTATCCTCCTCTTCTTCCTCTCCTCTTCCTCCCATGTTCGGTTCCTCCTTTCTGCTCCGATTATCAAAAGTAGCGACTTCCCCGCCCCGAGGAGGGTCCCAAGATAACTTCAAGAGGGCCCCCAAAACAACCGAATGAAGCCGCTGTGGCATGGAAACATTTGTTCCCGCTGTTTCTGCGCACCCGACGCGTTTCCAAGGCGGCTGTTCCACTGCATGCTTCTACACTTCCCTGATCAAAGCAATTTGCCTGGCGATCGATTCTGGATGGGCTGGTGGGGATACTTTTGGGTACGCAGGCGCACGAAACGAGTCGGACGCCGGGAAAGGGACCTGGTGGGGATACTTGTTGGTCCGCGGGCGCGCGAAACGGGTCGAACGCCGAGCCTGCTACGGCGGGCCGGACGCTGGTGGGGATACTTTTCGTCGCACCCGTAGGCGAAGGCGCCCGCGGCGTCACAGGTCGGCTCGCGCTACGAGCAGATCCAATTGACCGCTGGTGGGGATACGCGAAGCGTCAAGAAGTCTTGTAGAGTCCTACGACAAGGGAGCGTGGAGGGAGAGTTTATTGCAACATCGTTGATGCGTCTTGGGTTTACACTGGTCCTCCACATCCTCCTCATCACCCTCCGCGTCCGACTCGTCGCCCACTCCAATGGCAACCCGAATCCCCCACGCAGATAGCTGGGGCGGCCTTTGCCAGCCCACTTTCTGGGCATCACGATTACCTTTGCAGGGATGACGCACAAACATCATGGCATTCTGAGCTACTCTGCATTCATGAATGCTCCAGACTGTTCGGATGAACACTTAGGTATGACCGGATTGTGTTGCACATAGTCTCTGATATGGCGTATGGTGGTGTCTGTTGACATGCTTCGACATCCGAATAATGGTGTTAGCCAAGGGCCATCAGCGCCTCCGCTCCATCAAACCTGAGGAACGCACCACTTCCAAAGAGAAACTGCAGCAGGCCTTGCACAGCATATGATAGAAACAGAGATGGCAATGACACGAAATGATGATGTAATAATGTCGATGTCCTTCTTCGCGGGTGCTTGCGGTGTTCTGCTAGTTTAAAAGATCATTCGCATGGTAGCGCTGACAAGGAGCAACTATATGTTGAACAAGATCCTGCATTTCCACAGAGGGGGTAATCACTGAAATCGCGATAGCGGCACATGCTGCGGCGACTCATGAGGCGTTGAGGCAATAGAAAGAAACACTAGCATCTCGACGACGAACGTACGCGTCGTGTTGGTAAGCAACTGGGAAATACAATCCAACATGCGTTGCAGAACCCTACTCACGCAGTAAGCGCTGATACTTGCTAACTTGTAAATGGGCTTACCCTATCACAAGACCAGCGAATGCGCTATAACCCCACAAGTATGCCTCGACCAGTCGAACAATTCGACAACCAAGCCCGTATCGTGAACCGAAAGCGCAGCACTCGCCAAATCGGCGGTAACAGCTGGACCCAAGTACCGTGCCAGGCACTCCCCATCCTCCACTTCCTGACCATCCGACTCCTCAGACACTGCTGTAGAAGCAGCACTCCAGAGGCCAGAGGCACATGATGGCACATGGCTTAGCAGTGGAAGCAAGAATGGCAAGAGTATGCACCTCTCGGGTGGTATGCGCTCGGGTGTTGTAGACCAGGAGCTTCGCACTCGAGTTCTCTGCTGCCTGCCGGTCTCGCCGCCCTGCTCATGGCGTCGTCTCGAGTACCCCTGCACGCGTGTCGTCGCCATCATCATCATCATCATCATCATCATCATCATCATCATCATCATCATCATCATCATCATCATCAGCATCATCATCACCAGCAGCAGCATCATAATCATCAGTATCATCATCATCATCACCATCATCACTAGCAGCAGCATCATCATCAGCAGAACCAGCACCACCACCACCATGATCATCATCACCATCACCACCATCATCCTCATCATCAGCATCATCGTGCTCGAAGTAGCCAGCGCCATCATCATCACCTACACCATCGCCAAACAGCATCATTTGCATACGCAGCACCGTGGTCACCAGTTGATCGAACCTTATGGAGTTCTAGCGTTCTCTACCAGCTGTCAAAATGTGTTCAGCACGTCACTGAAACGACAGAGGAACGACACAAGGTCGTCGCCAACGGCACTCGCGAAAACTCCTGGGGCTGAGATTGTGCACACGGAAAAATATTCACACCTGGTTGACAGATTCCTGGCAGACCCGCCTAGAACACGGACGAAGTACACAATTGGCGATGGAGGAAGGTAGGGGACAGCACACACACACACACATACATCAATCTATAGATAGGTATACATATATATATGTATAGATGCATGTATGTATGTATATATGTATGTATGTATGTGTGTATGTATGCACGTATGTATGTATGTATGTATGAGTATGTGTGTATGTATGTCTGTCTGTCTGTCTGTCTGTATGTATGTATATGTATATGTATATGTATATGTATATGTATATGTATATGTATATGTATATGTATATGTATATGTATATGTATATGTATATGTAAATGTATATGTATATGTATATGCATATGCATATGGATATGGATATGTATATGTATGTATGTATGTCTGTCTGTCTGTCTGTCCGTCCGTCCGTCTGTCTGTCTGTCTGTATGTATGTATGTATGCATTTCTCCAGGGTTGGATCGAATCCGCCGCAAGTAAAAAAAGTACTATACAGGCATGCGTCGATCGACGATCTGAGCCAAGGACTCCGCTGTAGTGTCCGAGATGGCTGTACAGATGCAGCACTAGCGTTTGGCACAGTTTACAGCTTGACATGAGAAGTGGCTGCAGGAAAGGGGCCAAGGCGGGAGAATGCCCAGCACGCCTGGCATCCCGTCGTTGTACATTATCTGCACAATCAAATTCGGCACTCTCGTCCGGAGACAGCCGGATAAACCTTTGAGGCGTGGCGCAGATGGCGTCCCAACACTGCGTGCCCCGACGATCACAAAAATTAGCCAGGAGACGTAAACGAGACCGGAAATACGCGACACAGACTTGGCACACGCCATCCGCCAAGCAGAAGACGCGCTGAGGAGCCTTCACGCCATGCCTCCTGGCCTCTGGGCACGAAGCGGGCTTGTCCTCAGGTCCTTTGCCAAGTCTTGGAAGCTTGGAAATGGGCATTAACACCAACATCAGGGGTTGCCTCCACGGGAGGAAGATGATCCAGGATTTTGGTGCTGGTAGTAATCTTTCGAACACCTAGAAGGCCCGAATATTACCACCATCACCAAGATCGGGATCATCTTCCCTGGGTGGGAGCACACCGCCGATATTGGTGTTGGTGTCAACCTCTAGGCCTCATCATCCGTCCCCCTCCTGCCTCCTGCCTCCTCCTCCCTCCTCCTCCTCCTCCTCATCCCTCCTCCTCCTCCTCCTCCTCCTCCTCCTCCTCCTCCTTCTCGTCACCCTCCCACTCCTACCTGGGATCACCATGTCGCATGGCGCACAGAGCATGAGCACTCAGGGTGTTATGCAGCAAATCCACGCGAAAGTCCAACCTGGACATCTGGCGACAACATTACCCTCGCTCTGCCCGTCCACGCCGTGCCTGGATGCCTTCTGAAAACTTTTGCTGATAGTTCGGGTCCATCTTCACCCCATTGACCTCGAGGATGAAGTCGAAGAATACCTTAGAAGCGGATGCAAGAGCACACATATGGACTCCACGTACGGATTTTGAATGTTTTTCATCGTCGTCGTCGTCGTCCCCCCTCAGGGTCAGCGGCACTGGCCTGCAGGGCTTCGCCATGCGAACTCCAACCTCGCAGGGATTTGCACAAATCGGGTCGCAAAAACCAAGGCAACCCGCTCTGGTCACTCCGAAGTGTCGCTAGTTTGAAACGTGCCGACCCAGAGCCAGGACCCTGTGAGTCGACAGAGAAACTTCGAGAAAATCTGGCCAGAGGGAAGCTAGGTCTGAAGCATGCTCCCTCTACTCCTGCCTCCTCCTCCTGCTGGCTACCACGCCCTCCTCCACGCCCTCCTCCTGCTCCTCCTCCTCCTCCTCCTCCTCCTCCTCCTCCTCGTCTTCCTCCTCCTCCTCCTCCTGATCTCCCGCATCCGTAGCTCCCCCATGCCAAGCCACCAGACGTGTGTCTGCAGGCCGCCCTAGGCGTGTGTCGCTGGCGACGTCCAGAGATAGATTGCGGCAGCACAAAGCGACATGTTTAAAAACTGGATTCCGCGCTCGCTCGGGGGCGGCCACGAGGGGGGGGGCGCAAATCATGGCCGGCGGCACGTGCGCGGCCCAAGGGGGGGCCAGGGACGTAACGAAATAAGAAAAGGCACCATGAAATCTGAGAAAAGAGCATGACCCACGCCGTGATAGCCACCCCCCCAACCCGTCATCACCCCCCTCTTGGCCGCCTCCGACTCGCGTCGGGCCTGCATCATCTTCGGCCTCTTTACCGCGGGTACTGTCTGCCTTCGCCGTCCCAGGCCCTACATGATCGCATGCGTGTTGGTTGCAGGCTTGAGTTGTGTCTGAGATCCATGTGCGAGCTTCTGTCTCGCGAGAGAGACAAAATTGCCATCGTGAAATGGCGCGAGGGTCGCGCATTCGGCTTGTCACTGCGGTCGCAGAGTGCCGAGGGTTTCGTGGTACCTTGAGACCCTGTGAGACGATGCAGGTGCAGCTCTTGCTCAACCTCAGCATCCTCCAGGACCACCGCCACGGCATCGGTGACACGAAATTGGCCGACGAGGTCAATGGCGCTGGTTTCAGCTAGAGGGTGATCATCCACAACGTGCTGGATCACGCGCACCCAGTAGCCCCATCGGCGGCGCAGTGGACCTTCGTGGGCGACATACCAGCGCGCTGCGAAGGCTCACGACGGCCAATCAAGACCGAGATGAAAAAGGTCGCGCAGCAGTTTGTTTACCTCGGACACGCAGCTGGGCAAGGAACTGCATGCGGAGCTGGCCTAGGCGACCTTGCTGGTTTGGATGGCACTGGACGCGAGGGACCTGGGCAGCGATGCGGCTGCTGGCAGGAGGCGCTGCTGCGAGAAGCAAGCGCGGAGCAACCCGCATCAAGCGATTGCGGAGGCGCTCAAGGGCCGTGGCCCGCTTTGATCAATCGGCGACGCCGAGGATCCTCAGGCGCAGACGGCAGATGGAAGTGCCAGTTGCGATCGAGCCTTGTCAAAGGCACAGTGCCCAGACGGGGCTGTCCTCCTCCTCCTCCTCCTCCTCCTCCTCCTCCTCCTCCTCCTCCTCATCTCCTCCTCCTCCTCCTCCTCCTCCTCCTCCTCCTCCTCCTCATCATCATCATCATCATCATCATCATCATCATCATCATCATCATCATCATCACCATCATCATCATCATCATCATCATCATCATCATCATCATCATCATCATCATCATCATCATCATCATCATCCTCATCATCTCATCATCATCATCATCATCCATCCTCATCATCTCATCATCATCTCATCCTCATCCATCTCCTCCTCCCTCATCTCTCCTCCTCCTCTCCTCCTCTCCTCCTCCTCCTCCTCCTCCTCCTCCCTCCTCCTCCCTCCTCCGCCTCCTCCTCCTCCTCCTCCTCCTCCTCCTTCCTCCTCCTCCTCCTCCTCCTCCTCCTCATCATTCATCATCATCATCATCATCATCATCATCATCATCATCATCATCATCATCATCTTCATCATCCGCCTCCTCTCCTCCTCCCTCCTCCTCGCTCCTGCTCCTCATCCCTCCTCCTCCTCTCCTCCCCTCCTCCTCGCTCCTCCTCCTCCTCCTCCTCCTCCTCCTCCTCCTCCTCCTCCTCCTCCTCCTCCTCCCTCCTTCCTCCTCCTCCTCCCTCCTCCTCCGCCTCCTCCCCCCCCCCTCCTCCTCCTCCTCCTCCTCCCTCCTCCTCCTCCTCCCCTCCTCCTCCTCCTCCCCTCCTCCTCCTCCTCCTCCTCCTCCTCCTCCTCCTCCTCCTCCTCCTCCTCCTCCTCCTCCTCCTCCTCCTCCCCCCTCCTGCGGCCGCCAGCTGCAGGGGCCGGCGCCGCCGCGCCTCGAGCAGCTTCGCCGACGGGCGGGGGCTGCAGCTGGCGGACAGGCGAACGGCCGCTGCCTCGCCACGACCCTCGCGCTGGGCCTAGAGGAGGACCCCGCCATAGAATAAGGCTGCGAGCAGAGGGCATCGGCTCGCGGCTGGCGCCGAGGGAGACGGCGCTCGCCGAGCTGCCAGCACGCCCGGATCAGGAGGGCGTGGCCGACCACCCGCGGCGCGCTGCAGGCAGCCGACGCCGGCAAATGTCGCAGGGTCCGTGGCCCCATCGGTGCGATCATCGCGGCGCTGATGGACCTGAGCTGAGAGGCGCGCACGGCCACACCATGGATCCGCCCTGAGGCAGGGGGCGCCCGCACAGAGTGGCACCTGGCGGAGTCGGACTCGGAGGCCCTCGGCTCCCTCATTGACCACCAAGAGGACTGCCTCCCATCAAGAAAGGGGAGAGCAGGTGATTGCTCAGCCAGATCTGGCGCCGCCAACGCCACAACTCACGGATGAGGCCCGCCCAAAACCGTCACCAAACGCCTTGGGTGACTGGTGTGGGGCGGGTGCCTTTTTTCTGGTCGGATCTCTAGTTCCCGAGGGTCGTCGGTGTTGGTGTCAAGTTGCACTGATGACGCTGTGGTTCCTTTGACCTGCACCGCGAGGACAACTTCAGATTGAATCCTTCCGGTCTGATCCTCCTCCTCATCCGCCTCCTCCTCCTCCTCATCCTCCTCCTCCTCCTCCTCCTCCTCCTCCTCCTCCTCCTCCTCCTCCTCCTCCTCCCCCATTCCTTTCATGCTGGATAGCTCCTCCCCGTCGCACCCCGAGGCCGGTCGGAGGGGCGGCCTGGGCGTTTCGCCTGAGGCTTTCTGGCCAAACATGGGCCTGAAGCGTAGAAGCTGGCAGCCGCTTCACAGATGGAGGGCGGGTCGCTTCCAAAATGTGGCCCTCGCCTTTGCGGGACGGGAAAATGACCACAGCCACTGCTTCTTGTTTGCGCAGCCTTCCAGCCGGCCGAAAAAGAAGCAGTGGTTGTGGTCATTTCCCTGGTGTCAAGCTTAACGAAAATGACCACAACCACTGCTTTGTTTCTGCTGGCTGGAAGGCGGCAACAAAAGAAAAGCAGTGGCTGTGGTCGTTTTCACGTCCCGTAGCCTTGGCGCCACGCACATTCGCTATCAGAAATTGCAAGAGCTTCACCGATCAAGAACGCATCGTTTTCAAAAACGTAGCTCGCGCCTTAGCGCCGCGCCTACTCGTTTGAAACAATGCAAGAGTTACACGGATTGAGGGCCGGTCGACTTTTCTATGTGGCTCGCGCCTGAGCGCCGCGCATATTCGTCTTAAACCTTGCAAGAGCTTCACGGATCGAGGACGGCTCGTTTTCAAAATGTGGCCCGCGCCTCAGCGCCGCGCACACTCGTCGTCAACCTTGCAAGAGCTTCACTGAGTGAAGGCATGTGGTTTTAAAAATGTGGCTCGCGCTTTAGCGCAGCGCACATTCTTTGCCACATTGTCACAAAAATGCATGAGTATCGCGGACTATCACTGCTAGCATTCCAGACATGGTTCCAACGATTCAGGACCGTCAGGGCGCGACACTTACGCTGATTCGCGGTGCTGGATGTTCAGGACTGGCGTTCTGGCACGATTCTGGACCGCCAAGACGCAACAGTCAGGTTGACTCGCGGAGTTGAAGTCCTGAGAATGGTGTTGTGGCACGCCTCAGGATTTTCACACGATTGTCTCCCAACGGGGCACTTCCCTCAGTAGAAGTGAACCCTTGAATGGGCCTGTGAAGAGGGAGCTTGTAAGGAGGGTGTATTCCAAAATCGTTGATGAGTACTGGGTGTACACTGGTCCTCACCTCCTCCTCCTCCTCCCCCTCCTCCTCCACCTCCTCCTCCTCCTCGTCAGTTACTCCTCCTCCTTCTCCTCCGCCTCCGCTTCCTCCTCCTCCTCCGCTCCTCCTCCTCCTCTCCTCCTCCTCCTCCTCCTCCTCATCCTCCTCCTCCTCTTCTTCCCCTCCTCTCCTCCTCCTCCCCCCCTCCTCCCTCGTCTCCTCCTCCTCCTCCTCCTCCTCCTCCTCCTCCTACTCCTCCTCCTCCTCCTCCTCCTCCTCCTCCTCCTCCTCCTCCTCCCGGTTCCCCACGCCAAGAGGCAACGCCAGCCGCGGGAGCGTCGGCGTAAGCGGCGGACCTCCAGGCCGGCCTCGGCAGCGGGGCTCCCCTGACTCACCTGGGGGAGGGCGCGGAACCCGCTCGTACCGGCTCGCTCCTCCACCTGTCAGGGGCAGGAGAGAGGAAGGGGAGGGAGGAGTGCGGGGGAGGAGGGATGCTCAGGAGAAGGGACGAGTAGGGAGGAAGTGGAGCAAGGAGGAGGAGGAGGAAGAGGAGGAGGAGGAGGCGGGGGAAGAGAAAGAAGTTGACGACGACGACGACGACGACGACGACGACGACGACGACGACGACGACAACGACGACGAGCACCCCCCCGCCTCATCCCTCCCTCTTTCCGCTTCCTTCGTCGCCGCCGTCGCTGTCGCCGATGCCGCGTCGTTGTCGCCTTCGGCGTCGCCATACCGCCGCGACGGCATCGCCGCCGCCGCCGCCGCCGCCGAGCGGGCGAGGTCGCGGGTGCGCGCGGAGGGAGGGGGGAGCTCCTCCTCCTCCTCCTCCTCCTCCTCCGCCTCCTCCTCCTCCTCCTCCTCCTCCTCCAAGTCGCCGGAGAGCATCGCCAGCTGCCCTACTGTGTACAGTGGAGGCCGGTCCACAAGAATCCTTCCACAAGAAACCCAACCCTGAGACCCCAGGACGTTCATTGATTTCTAGTGTGGGAACGTCACGCTGTCCATCGCAGAACCATCGAAGCCCACGAAACCCAGGGCACCCTTGAGGCAAGAGATCGGGGATGGACAGAGCCCCCTTTAGTAAGACGTGGTTTAGTGAAAACGGCCACGAGCCCACACCTGGCGGGCGCAAGCCTGGAAAAGGACGGCCGCGGCGCCCCCCCGAGAACCGAAAACGGACAATCCACGAATCGACGTGTCGGGGTGGGGGCTGTCCACCCCCGACAATGGGCCCCCTGCGGGACGTCGCTCTGCCCCCCGGGAGCCTCTTGGGAGCCTCCAGAGCTGGGCGATATTTCTGTTGTTTGTTTGTCTAATTCTTTGTTCCTCCAGAGCTGGGCGGATCTTGAGCATCGTTTCACCGATCCCGATCCCCACTGGCGTGGCTTGGGCCCAACTGGCCGAGGCGTCCCCCTAGATAATTTCCAGCACGTGCGTGCTCATATGTGTGGTATGCGTGTCACACGTGTGGCACTTGCCGTCGCTCGGACGTCCATTTCATGTGCATTGTTCGGTTTCGTGCGTGCCTTTTTTCGTCAATAATCCAAGATGGTCCTCGTGATTTCTCGCCGAAAAAAATGCACACGTCCAAGCGATGCCAAGGTCATTGAGGACGCACAGGCTGCCCCCTTCGGGCTTCGATGGGGGCCGTCCCCGACTGGGGCGGTGCGCCGGCGGGGCTGAGATACCATGGCCCACTCAAAGGGGCCCTGGGACACACAAATAAATACACACAAATAAAAGGATTCCCAATATTTTCCCATATTTTCTGGGATTTTGTCTTCTCCCCCACTTCCCATATTTTCCCATATTTTCTGGGGAGTCGAAGATTGATTGTGTCTGTGTGTTTTCCCCTCCTGACCACTGGGGACAGGGATCGGCTCCACCGGCCCCCTTTGCGGGGCAACCAGGCTGCGAGGGTGAGGATTGCGGCTCCCTGTTCCGGCTGCAGCTTCCAGTTTCCACTGCTACAGTCCTGCTTTCTGCTTCCTTACTGGTATTTACTGCTGAGCGCGCGAGGGGGGGAAGCCGAAAAGCGTCCTGGCTGGCGTCCCCGAATCGAGTTGTCCGAATTCATGGGGGGGCGTGGGACATGATATTCGCGTCCCCGAGGCCGTAATCCCTTGTAAATTACACCATATTCGCGTCCCCCAGGCCACACAAACCCTTGCAATTACACCATATTCGCGTCCCCGAAGCCTTAAACCCTCGTGCATGACCTGATGTTCGCGCCACCGAAGCCATAAACCCTAGTGAATTAATGTTGGCCCTCGCGTGAAGTCCCGACATTCTTTCACGTCAGCGCCCAGACATCCCAACACAGCTCTGGCAAGTCCCACTCTGAGACAGGGGCCAAGCCCTTCCAGATAATAATAATAGTATTAGCTGTCGTAGTAGTAGTCGTAGTCGTGGTAGTAGCAGCATCAGCAGTAGTAGCAGTAACAATAGAAGTGGCAGTGGTAGTAGCAGGAGTAGTGGCAGTAGTAGTAGCAGGAGAAGAAGAAGTAGTAGTAGTAGTAGTGGTAGCAGTAGTAGTAATAGTAGCAGTCGTAGTAGTAGCAGTAGTAGTGGTAGTAGTAGTAGTAGTAGGAGTAGTAGGAGTAGGAGTAGTAGTAGTAGTAGTAGTAGTAGTAGTAGCAGTAGTAGTAGTAGTAGTAGTAGTAGTAGTAGTCGTTGTAGTAGTAGCAGGAGTCCTAGTGGTAGTAGTAGTAGCAGGAGTAGTAGTAGTAGTAGTAGTAGTAGTAGCAGTAGTAGTAGTAGTAGTAGTTAGTAGTAGTAATAGTATAGTAGTAGTAGTAGTAGTAGTAGTAGTAGTAGTAAGCGTAGTAGTAGTAGTAGTAGTCGTAGGTAGGAGGAGGAGGAGCAGGAGTACTAGCAGTAGTAGTAGTAGTAGTAGCAGCAGTGTAGTAGTAGCAGTGTAATAGTAGTAGCAGCAGGAGTAGTAGTAGTAGTAGTAGTAGTAATAGTAGTAGTAGTAGTAGCAGTAGTAGTAGTAGTGTAGTAGTAGTAGTAGTAGTGGTGGTAGTAGTATAGTAGTAGTAGTAGTAGTAGTAGTAGTATTAGTAGTAGTAGTGGTAGTCGTAATAGGTAGTAGTAGTAGTAGTAGTAGTAGTAGTAGCAGTAGTAGTAGTAGTAGTTGTAGTAGTAGTAGCAGTAGCAGTAGCAGTAGCAGTAGCAGTAGCAGTGGTAGCAGCAGGAGTTGTAGTAGCCGCAGGGGGTAGTAGAACTAGTAGTAGTAGTAGTAGTAGTAGTAGTAGAAGTAGTAGTAGTGGCCGTAGTACCAGGAGTAGTAGTAGCAGTAGTAGTAGCAGTAGTAGCAGGAGCAGTGGTAAGATGAGGAGGAGTAGCAGTAGTGGCAGAAGTAGTAGTACAGTAGTAGTCGTAGTACCAGGAGTAGTAGTAGTAGTAGTAGTAGTAGTAGCAGCAGCAGTAGTAATAGCAGTAGTAGTAGTAGCAGCATGTAGTAGTAGCAGTAGTAGCAGTAGTAGTAGCAGGGGAAGAACAAGAAGTAGTAGTAGTAGTAGCAGTAGCAGTAGCAGTAGCAGTAGCAGTAGCAGTAGAAGTAGCAGAAGTAGTAGTAGTAGTAGCAGTAGTAGTAGTAGTAACAAGAGTAGTAATAGTAGTAGGAGTAGTAGTAGCAGGAGCGGGAACAGTGTAGTAGTAGCAGCAGTAGTAGCATTAGCAGCGGTAGTAGCAGGAGTAGTAGTAGTAGTAGTAGTAGTAGCAGTAGAGGTAATAGTATTAGCAATAGAAGCAGTAGTAGCAGTAGCAGTAGACGGAGTAGTAGTAGTAGTAGTAGTAGCAGGAGTAGTAGTAGTGGTAGCAGCAGGAGCAGCAGCAGCAGTCGTAGCAGGAGTAGTAGTAGCAGTAGTAGTAGCAGGACTAGTAGTAGCAGTCCTAGTAGCAGTAGGAGCAGGAAGAGTAGCAGCAGCATTAGTAGTGGTAGGAGGAGTAGCAGCAGGAGTAATAGTTGTAGCAATAGCAGTAGCAGTCGCAGTAGCAGGAGTAGTAGCAGGAGTAGTAGTTGTAGTAGTAGTAGTAGTAGTAGTAGTCGTAGTAGTAGTAGTAGTAGTAGTAGTAGTAGTAGGTAGTAGAAGTAGAAGTAGAAGTAGTAGAAGTAGTAGTAGTAGTAATAATAATAGTAGTAGTAGGAGTAGCAGTAGTAGTAGTAGTAATAATAATGATAGCAGGAGTTGTAGTAGTAGTAGCAGTAGCAGTAGTAGTAGTAGAAGTAGTAGTAGTAGTAGTAGTAGTAGTAGTAGTAGCAGTAGTCGTAACAGTAGTAGGAGTAGTAGTAGTAGTAGTAGTAGTAGTAGTAGTAGCGGTAGTAGTAGTAGTAGCAGGAGCGGTAGTAGTAGTAGTAGTAGCAGCAGTAGTAGTAGTAGCAGTAGTATTAGTAGCAGGAGTAGTAGTAGTAGTAGTAGTAGCAGTATTATGAGTAGTAGAAGCAGTGACAGAAGCAGTAGCAGTAGTAGTAGCCGGAGTAGTAGTGAAAGTGGTAGTAGTAGCAGGAGTAGTAGTAGTAGTAGTAGCAGCAGCAGCAGTAGTAATTGTAGTACTAGCAGGAGTAGTACTAGTATTAGTAGCACCAGTAGTAGTAATAATAAATAATACGAATGATAATTAACATAGTAGTAACAGCAGTAGTAGTAGCAGTAGCACGAGTACTAGTAGTAGTAGCAGTAGTAGCAATAGTAGTAGCAGGAGTAGGAGTAGTAGTAGTAGTAGTAGTAGTAGTAGTAGTAGTAGTAGCAGTAGCAGTAGCAGTAGCAGTAGCAGTAGCAGTAGCAGTAGTAGTAGCAGGAGAAGAAGCAATAGTAGCAGTACGTAGCAGTAGCAGGAGTAGTAGTAGTATTAGTAGCACGAGCAGTAGTAGTAGTACCAGCAGCAGTGGTAGTAGTAGTAGTATCGGTAGTAGTAGTAGCAGGAGTGGTAGTAGTAGTAGTAGTAGTAGTAGTAGTAGTAATAGCAGGAGTAGTATTAGTAATAATGGTAATATCAGCAGTAGTAGTAGCAGTAGTAGCAGCGGGAGAAGTAGTATTAGTAGTAGTCGTAACAGTAGTAGTAGCAGTAGTAGTAGCAGTAGCAGTAGCAGTAGCAGAAGCAGTAGCAGTAGCAGTAGCACTAGTAGCAGCAGCAATTGTAGTAGTAGTAGTAGTAGTAGTAGTAGTAGTAATAGTAGTAGTAGTAGTAGTACTAGTACTAGTAGTACTAGTAGTACTAGTAGTAGTAGTAGTAGTAGTAGCAGTAGGCAGTAGTAGTAGTACTCGTAGTAGTAATAGCGATCGTAGTAGTAGCGGTAGTAGCACTAGTGCGTACGTAGTCGTAGTAGTAGTCGTAGTAAGTAGTAGTAATAATAAGTAGGCAGTAGTAGTAGTAGTGTAGTAGTAGTAGTAGTAGTAAGTAGTAGTAGTAGTAAGTAGTAGTAGTAGTACTAGTAGTAGTAGTAGTAGTAAGTATAGTTGTAGTAGTATTAGTAGTAGTAGTAGTAGCCGTAAAAGAACGAGGAGGAGGAGGAGGGAGGAGGAGGAGCAGGAGGAGGAGGAGGGGGGGGAAGAGGAGGAGGAGGAGAGGAGGAGGAGAGAGAGGAAGGAGTAGGAGGAGAAGGAGCAGGACGAGGAAGAGGAGGAGGAGAGAGAGGAGGGGGAGGAGGAGGAGGAGGAGGGGGCGGAGGAGGAGGAGGAGGAGGAGGATACCATGCAAAAATATATAAACACACACACACACACCAAACATATAAACCATTCAAACACCACACATATAAAATCAATCGAATAATCGATATTCCTTCCTTGGCCCCCACAGCGACATCCACGGCGCCGGCCTGTCCACGGCCTCCCTGAAACAAGGGAATCGTACACTGATCCTCCTCATCCTCCCTCATCCCTTTCATCCATATCCACGTCATCCCCATTCTGTTCCTCCCAATCTTCGTTATCCTCCCCCTCCTCCCTTTCCGTTTCCTCATCCACATCCTCATTCTCCTGGAGACGAAAGAAAGACTTCTGAGGAAGAAAGAGGCACTTCTGAAGAAGAATCAGCCAAGATTCGTCCCAATTCAACCGGGATTGGGACCAAACAGACGGGATTGGTCCTAGGAAGCTGGAATTGGTACCAATCCCGCGGAGTTCCCCCCCCCCCTTTCCAGAACTCCCCCAACCTCCTCCCCAGGGGAGGGCTCCCGGCCCCACCCCCGCCCCCTCCAGCTCTACAGTCGGAGTTGATTGGAGAGGACACGCAAGAGGATAACTACAAGAGCCTTCCACAGGCCACATTGCCATAGGAAGGTAGAAGACATGGGTCGCACAACGCAGGACACAAGGGTGCCCTTGATTTGGCAGTGTCGACCTCCTAATCAACCCCTGGGTTCAGAGTCTGGCGCCATCTTGGGGTACCCGGCCCCCTCGGATTCAGATCCCAGGGGGTGTTCTGCAAGCGGCCACAGCGAGCGCTGGGGCTGTGGTAGATAAACTCGTGGACTGTGGCTGACTTGTTTGGGGACGGTGTGACAGACGATGCATGCGTACGGCCAGTGCATGTGCACGAGATGTTCGGAGCCTCGCAGAATCACCGTGCGCACTCCTGCCAGGCAACATGGCATCAAGCTCGAGCGCGCGTCCCTTCCACCCCTGCCGCTCGTCCTCCTGCTCCTCGGTATCCACAGGAGGAGACCTTGAAGACCCGCACACCGCCAATCTCCGTGGACGAGCCGCCGCCCATGGCGCTGCGCGGGAGGCGGGGGCACGGGGGAAGGATGCAGAGGCTGCAGGCGGTGAGCTGGGGAAGGTCGCTTCGAGCCCCCTATCAATTGGTCTCGCTCTCGCTGCCCTATTCTTTCGAAGTGCGCGGAGGAGGCGCACAGAGCATGACAGCCTCACCTCCGTGGAAGCCTTCTGGGGGGGTCGTGAAGCCGTATCAGGCCGGCCTCGGGGTGATGACGAGACGTGGGTCTCTGAGACAGAATAACTGGGAAAGCAAGCACAGAGGAAATGGAAAGGGGACCAAAGTGTTGCTCGGCAGGCACAACAAAAGCGCACTAAGGATCTATCGCCTCGAATGCGCACTTGTGCCTGGGACGTCTCTGAGGAACGGGATTGCAAAAGCTCTGGCAGGGCTCGAGACACTCCGATGATCTGCACGGCGATTATGCACACTATGTTGTAACGACGCAGCTCACCTTGCCTGTGGCGACCACTTCCTTCCTGACTTCCTCTTCTCCAAAGCGCATCTCTCCTCAGTCATGACACCCCGAACAGCAAGCCAAGCTCGGTCGCAGCGGCGAGGAAAGTTGCGGACAGCTCACGAGATGCAGCGCTCGAGGGAAGCGCAGTGCGAGGCAGGGCAGAAAGGACGGGGAGAGGGAGGGAGAAGGGGAAGGGAGGACGAGGAGGACGGAATACGAGGGAGCAGAGACGAGAAACGCAAAACCACGGCGGAGGGAGGAGGGATGAAGGAGAGGGTGGGAAGGAGGGAAGTGGGTTGAGAAGGAGGGGAAAACGAGCAGGAAGAGGAGGAGGACGAGAGAGAGCAGTGGAGAGAAGGAGGATAGAGAAGGGAGGAGGGACTGGTATTCACCTTCCTCTCTTCCTCACCATCTTCCCACCACTCCTCCGTCCTCCTCCTCCTCTTCCTCCTCCTCCGTAGCCATGTTAGCTCAAGATGCCTATGTCCCTCGGACAGAGCGTGGATACCTCTAGTCCGAGGCCAGCTTCCGCTTCAGGCAACCCCAGTCGAGCTGCGTGCTGCTGGGGCCAGAGAGCTTCAGTCCACCAACAGCCAGCGCTTGTCGGACCCCCGCTTCCACGAGTCACCATGGGGTATGCGAATGGCAACGCGAGGCAGCCATCCACGGTGTGTGCATGTGGACAGTGGGCGTACACCCTCAGGCTGGAGCGGAACAACTGCAAGTGCATCAAGTGCGGCGCGAAGCTGCAGCCGTACCAGAATCGCGGGGGCACCGCGGGCGGCGGCGAGCAGCAGCCAGTCAAACCCCCGCGGCGCGAGGCCAGGCCCGCCGCTGGGGCAGCGGCAACGGCAATGGCAGAAGCGACAGCTACACCAAGCAACAGGAGGCAGAGAATCTCAAGAAGGCGCTCGAGATGCTTACCTCCATCCTCCCGAACGACGCCATCGAGCTGGAACCTAGCTGCCGAGACGGCCCCCGAGACCAAGACGAAGACCCCATGCAGCAGGTGCAGTATATCGCCCTCGAGCTCAAGACAGCGCCGTTCCAGAAGGCAGCGGACGCCCTCGTCAAGGCGGAGGAGTTCGCGAAGCAGGCCAGGGAGGCCCACCTCCACGCCGGCCAAAAGAGGCTCTTAAGGCGAAGCAGGACCACGCCCTGGCGGCCCAGACGCTCCCCTCCACAAAATGCGGACCGCGGGCAGGCGGACGACGCCACCACCAGGGACGGCACGAAGGTCACCTTCGCCTTCGATGCGTCCTGTCTCAACCAGGGCCTCGACAGGCTCGACGACGAGGAGAGGAAGGAGCTCGAGGCCCACCGCGCCACCTGCGACGCCCACTACCGGGCCACGGTCGCGGAAGACGCCAGGGCCGGGGAGCTGCGGGCCGAGATTGAGAAGATCGAGGACAAGCCGCCCAGGAGGACGAGGGTGGACTCTCTCCGCCCCCAGCGGGCCCGCCCAAGAGCGCCGAGGCCACGGGCATGCGGGTCCCTGCCGCGGAGGACCAGGAGGTCCCAGGCCCGCGCGACCCCGGCCCGACACGCTCGCAGCCACCCCCCAGCAGCCCATCGACACTGCCCGCAGCCGCCTCCCCCCGTGGCCCTCGAAGTCGGCACAGGCGGCCTCCTGCCCAGGCCATGAGGCAGCGGCTGCCCCTGCTGCCCCCACTGCGCCTGCGGCCTGGCATGGCGGCAGAAGCGGCCCCTCCCCAGCAGCGGGCCGACCCGGCGCTCCGCCGGGGTCTTCCTAACGGGACAGACCCCCCCCCCCGTTGGCGCATGGGCCCAGGCCGCAGACGCCCTGAGACAGGAGGCAGCCAGCAACCACAAGGTCGCAAGGCCAAGAACCACGCACACAACGGTGTTTCTTTCGCAAACATCACAGAGCGGGGCCCGCAGGCCAGAGGATCCATGAGGGCGCAAGCGGACGAGCACGACACCGCCAGCATGGTGGAGCCCCACGCGAACGAGGAGGGAATCGGCAAGGCGCGCGCGGGCCTGTCACGAGACGGCCGGCAGCTCGCGGCGACGGCTGCGCGGCTCACTGGCCGATCAGCAGCAGGAACGATGGGGGGCGGGTGGATCCTCGCCAAGAAGCAGATCCAGACCACATCTTTCGAGGCCTGGAGAGAAGCAACCAGAGATGCATCAGGGCGAGACCAATTCGCTGGATGCTGCCCAACGCGCCGGCACCTCAAGTCGGGCAACCTCATCGTCATCAGCGCCTATATGCAGCCACAATTTGGCTTCAGCGAGGCCAACCAGCGGACCCTCGTCAGGCTCGCAGCCACCTTCCTCCGTCAGCTGAGGTGCCCGTGGGTCCTCCTGGGCGACCAGAACGCGGTGCCCGAGGAGTGGGGCAAGACCCAGTGGCTCACCAAGCTCAACGCGGAGAGGCTCACGGCGGAGAACTGCACAGCCACACGCAGTAGAGGAGCAGGCAAAGCCATCGACTATGCCATTGTCACCGAGGGAACGGCGACCAGCATGAGGTTGCAGGCGGTTGGGGAGGTGCCTTGGAAAGACCGCGCAGGCCTGAAGCTCACGATAGCGGACGGCAAGCAGCACCGGCGGCACCGCAAGCTCGACCTCGCGCACGCGCCCCTGACAACAAACCCCAGACCCAAGAGGGCGGCGGACGCCAACAGCAAGCGGCAGAAGGTCTTGCAGAAAGGCAGAGACGAGAGATGAGCGAGGCTCCAGGAAGGTCTCCAGGAAGCCTTCGACGAGATCCACGACGAGGCTGACGAGCCTGCGGATGCAGCACCTGCGCCGACCACCGCCTTCCACATCCCAGCCGAGCTGCGGTCAGAGGCGCGCTCAGCAGTGGAGACGAGGAACCTGGCCCCAGGAGAGACCCGCTGGCAGAGGCCGCCCACCGCGCGCCCCGCCCGCTCGGGCGGCCGACACGAGGCACAGGACCGCAGATGCGCCCCGCCCTCGGCGCGGCAGCCTGCGGGGGAGGCAGGCCTGCCGCTGCCCCGGCGGGCCCCGCCTGCAGGGGGCCGCCGCCCCAGCGCGCGGCGCAAGCGGTGAGCGGAGCGACGCCGCCAGAGGCGGGGCGACGGAGGACGCCGCCCAATGCCACGCCCGCACGCAGCATAAGCGCAGCGGTCCACGAGGACCCCGCGCAGCACGAGGACCACCTCCTGCCCACGAGGGGCCCCAGGGCCAGGGGCGCGCCGACGGCCGCTTCGCGAGGTGGGCCACAGCGCTGGAGCTGGCCACGGCGGAGCACCACGAGGTCCAGCAGGACAGGAGGGTGGCCCACGCTGGCAGGGGCAGCGGCTGCGCCACCAAGTGAGCGAGGTCCTCGGCCACGTCGGCGAGAGCACACCTGCGCGACTGGCACCTCGAGCGGTGGCACATCGCGGCCACCCGGCTCAAGAGGCACGAAGTGCCACGACGCACAGGGGGGGGCCCACGAGGCGAAGAGCTGCAGCATCAAGACAGCCGAGCTGACGCAGGAGGCCGACGACGCCCAGCTCAACCTGATCTTCGACAAGGACGAGGGGAGCGATTTCGGCAGCTGGAAAGATGCCGCGCGGGGGCCCCAAGACCTCCCAGACGACGACGTGGCCCCCATCAACCTGGTCGCGGAGCGCTACCAGTCCAGGACCCTCGCCACGGCGCTCGCCACGTCCAGGAAGTCGTTCCAGAGCTGGGCCCTGGCGATGTGGAAGAACGCTCCGCGGCACCTCCACGACGTGGTCAAGCCGCCCAAGCCAGAGACCACAGAGAAGCAGCGGGAGGAGCGCACAGCGGCGGCCCCCGACCAGCTCATGAGCAGCAGGGCGGACGAGTGGGAGAGGCACTGGGCCGACGACAGCGTCGCCCAGGGGCAGCTCCAGGATGGCATCCACACGGCCGTGGGCCGCGCGCGGCAGGGGCCCCTCGCCCCGCTCGCGCTGAGGCAGCTGGGCCTCCTGCCCCCACTCAGCGCCACCACGGCCGAGGGCATCGACAACCTCGGCCCCTGAGAGATCCGGAGGCTGCCCACCGAAGGCAGGCAGGGCATCATCAACCTCCTCAACGACATCGAGGAGGCAGGAGCATGGCCCAGACAGATGCTGACCACCATCGGCGCCATCGCCCCCAAGGACAAGGGCGGCGGCGACAGGGTGCCGGGCCAGCTCCCCTTCGCCATGAAGACATGTAGCAAGCCGAGGAGCGGGATCGCCAGCGAGTGGAGCGAGGCCTTGGGCGAGTTCTTGGACGCGGCCACACGCGGGCCGTCGGCCCTCCAGGCCTCGCTCCTCCGCGCCACTCTCGACGAGACCGCAAAGGAGCTCGGCGTCGCCACGGCGACCGCGCCGCTCGACCTGGCGAAGTTCTTCTACAGCATCAGCAACCCGAGGCTGGTCCAGCGCGCGCTGACCCAGGGCCCCCCGCCCATCGCGCTCTGCCTGGAGCTGCACAAGGACGTTCAGCTCACGAAGCAAGCGGACATAGGCCTCTGGACGCTCGTGGACGACACCGCGCTGCGGGCACAGGGCAAGAAGGCCGACGTCGAGGTGGAGCTGATAGAGAGCGGGTCAAGACTAGGGCGCTGCCTCCAGGCGAGCACCCCGAAGCTGGCCGTAGCCATCGCCGAGGGACTCCAGCAGCGAAGAGTTCCAGCAAAGGCGGAGGGCAGCTTCACCGACCTCGGGGCAAACTGCAACGCGGCCCGCACGCGCACCAGACGCAAGGGCAGGCAGAGGATGCAGGGAGCTGCCAAGAGGGCCAGCGCTATCAAGCGTCGCAGGAAGATAGCGAGGCTCAAGGCGGTCACCGAGGGCCTCTGGACGACTGTAGCGAGAGCCCAGGACATCTACGGCCACCAGGTGCACGGCCTGCCGCACTGCGAGATCCTCAGGCTGAGGAGGCAGGCACCCCGCGCGGCCGTGGACCGAGACCCTGGCCAGTGCCTCACCAGCACCCTCGCCATGGTCTACGGCAGGGCGGACCCAGCCAAGAGTGTGCCGCGCGAGCAGCTCACGGTTCGGCTGGACCTCTGGCTTCGCCAGCCTGGACTCCACGCCAGGATCGCTGGGGCCTGGCAGCTCGCAGCCGGGACGATCCGCGCTGCTGGAGAGCTCCGCTGGAGACGCGTGCGAGGCCCTGTCTCGGCCACGACCGCGACGCTCATCGATGCTGGCCGGGCGGCCGTCGACCGCGGCGGAGGAGGAGGAGGAGGAGGAGGTCGTCGGCTGGAGCTTCCCCAAGCACGCCCAGGACGGCTTCGCGGAGGCGGCGGCGGACTACGTCGAGCTGATGGGCGAGCACGAGCGCTCCATCGACGAGAAGCTCTGGAGGCAGGCGTCCCTGCACCAGGGCTCGACGGACATTACGCGTGGCGCCGACACCCTCATGGTGAACCGAGAGCTGCAGCAGCTCCAGCGGCGCGGCGACGACGACCTCTGGGCCCTCGACGCGGCGGTCGTCTTGGGCGGCCAGTGGACACGCCAGCGCCGAGCGCAGGCGGGCCATCAGGCCCCCGTGCAGCGCCCGCGCTGTGGCCAGGAGCCTGACACACTCTACCACAGAGTGTGGACCTGTCCCTGAAACACTGGCCATGCTGACTTTGAAAAGTCGGCCCACTTCCTCCCTCGGGCGATCGCTGGCAGCGGGGCGTGGCCCTCCTCCTCCTCCTCCTCCTCCTCCTCCTCCTCCTCCTCCTTCTCCTCCTCCTCCTCCATTTCTTCTCATTATGAATAGTGTCTCCCTCTCGTACCCCAAGGCCCAGTGGTCAGGGCGGGCTGGGCGGTTCGCCTGAGACGTCCTCACCATGTCTGACTCTGAAGCTTGAAAAGTGGCAACAGTTTCGCATATGGAGGGCGGGTCGTTTTCAGAATGTGGCTCTCGACTTAGCGCCGCGAACATTCGTCTTAACAAATGCAAGAGTTTCACGGATTGAGGGCGAGTGGTTCTCAAAGTGTGGCGCTCGCCTTAGCGCCGCGCACATTCGTTGTAACATATTGCAAGAGCTTCACGGATCGAGGGCGAGTCGTTGTCAAAATGTGGCTCTCGTCTTAGCGCCGCGCACGCTCGTCTTAAAAATGTGCCAGAGTTTCACGAATTAAGGGCGGTTCCTTTCAACATGTGGCTCTCGCCTCAGCGCCGCGCACACTCGTCTTAAAAATACGCAAGAGCTTAAAGGATCCCCATATCAACGTACCAGAAATGGCGTTCTGGAAGGATTCAGGCTTATGAGGGTGCACAAGTTGTGTTGATAGGCGGTGTTCACGTCCCTGGAATGGCGTTCTGGCATGATTCAAGATCGTCAAGACGCAACGGTCAGGTTGATGTGTGGCGTTGGAATCCCGAAACCAATGCTTTGGCATTCTTCAGGGTCTTCAAACACTTGTCTTCCAACGAGGCAATACCCTCAGTAAAAATGAACCGTTGTAAAGCCTATGAAAAGGGAGCTTGGAGGGAGGGTTTATTCCAGCATCGTTGATGCCCATTGGGTTTACACGGGTCCTCCTCCTCCTCCTCTTCTTCTTCTTATTCCTCCTCCTCCTCCTCCTCCTCCTCCTCCTCCTCCACCTCCTCCTCCTCCTCCTCCTCCTCCTCCTCCACCTCCTCCTCCTCCTCCTCCTCCTCCGCCGCCGCCGCCGCCGCCTCCTCCCCCTCTTCGACCTTAATATCATCCGCCTCGTCCTGCTCGGCCTCAACCTCATCGCCCTCCTCCTCCTCCTCCTCCGCCTCCTCCTCCTCCTCCTCCTCCTCCTCCTCCTCCTCCTCCTCCTCTGGCGCGCCCGGGGCCGCGGGCCCCGTGTCCTGAAGCCCGCGCGCGGGCGCCGCCCCCCCGCGCGGGCGCCGCCCTCCGCGAGGCCTCGCGCACGGCGGCCCACGCCCCGCGCCCCGCGCCCTCGGAGCCGAGGCGGGAGAGCCCAGAAGCGAAGCGGCACGCCGGATCGGCGATCGAAATGAATCGGATCGGCGGAGATCGGCAGCCGGGTCGGGAGAAGGCGAATCGGCAGACATCGGCAGGCTGGCAGGCCTCCATGGAGGAATCGGCGTCCCAGTCGGATTCCGAAGTCGAACAGACTCGGAATCGGAAGCCATCGAAATCGAATCGCATCGGATCGGTGGAATCGAAACGAGCCCTGCCGCGGGCGCGGGCGCGTCGCCAAGGGAGCCGCGTTCGGCGCCGCCGAGGGCGACGACGGCGACGACGACGACGACGACGACGACGACGCCGACAACGCCGCCGATGACGCCGCCGACGACGACGACGACGACGACGACGACGACGACGACGCCAAAAAGGCGCAGCAGCGGGTCGGCGCCCCCCCCTGGAATGAAATGAAGTGAAGAAGGGCGGAAAGCTGCCCAAGTACTGCACACGCTGCGCTGCACCCTGCTGAGACAAGACGCCGAATGTGCCTCACCCACCCACATCACATCACCGAGGTGCGAACACGCTTCGGTGGCAACTCGTGGGAGCCTCCCATACCATCTTGTCGGCTTCTGCGAAAATGTATCCACGCTCATCGACGCAAGCCGACGCTCAATCGGAGCTATCTCATCGACTCCCAGACGCCAATCGACGCCGGTCGACGCTCAAGACGGAATCACGAGGATACGCCAGGATCCCATGCTCTGCTGCCGCGGGAGCCACCCGGCGAGCGAAGCCCACTCCCCAGTCGTGCCCCCCCGTCTGCCCGACTCCTCGACGCGCGCGGGGTGCCCGCCCGGTGCTCTCGAAACCCCGGCGCTTTCGCCCTCGATCTCGGCCCCTGGGGCCCCCCCAGCGGCGTGGTGACCACGCCGCGAGGTGTGGTCACCCGGGGGGCTCCGGGTCACCGCACGGCCGTGAAACTCCAGGAAGGCCCGGAGAGGCCAAGATCATGGATTCTCCAAGGAGGTACTCGAAGAGAATTTGGGCATCTGCTTCGTTTCGGCCTTCCGATGGCCCGAGGCGGCCCAGGAGCCCCCAAAAATCGCCCCCAAGATCGCCCAAGAGGCCCCCAAGCCCGTCGCCTCGGGCGACCAAGGCCACCAAGATCCCCAAACTGAGGGGGATAACGGACTAACCAGCCTCGAATTGATCCCTATCCCTAAAATCGGCAAGCCAAAGGCGATGACGATCCTGAAGATCGGCACCGAGGTAAGGCGATGCCAAGCATAGGGATAGAGATACGCTTCAGACTGGGAAACAGACCGTGCGGCGAGGGCTCCTGGGATCTCGAGATCGCCGCGCGGTCCGTCACCACACGGATCTGGGACCCCCGCATCGGCCCCCGGGCCCGTCCTGGGGCCCCTGGACCATCCAGAGAGGGCACCCCCTCGAATGTCGTGTGATCTACGCTGTGCCACCTGTCTTGTGCGGTATGTGTCGCGCAAGCCGCGCTGTGCCGTCTATGCTGTGCAGGACGGGCCGCGCCCCCGGCACACAGGGAGGGCCAGGGTGCCCCCCGAGGGTGGAGGCGCCCCGAGTCCAGGCCTCTGAGAAGAATAGCGAACCTCCCCCTCCCCCCCGGTGCTCAAAGCTAGCGGTAGGTCTTGCACTTCGACCGCAGTCTCCCCCGAGCGTGCCAACTTTGCGGGCGGCGACGAGGCGGCGACGGGGCGGCGACAACGAGCACTGGGCCGCCAGACCGCCAGCCAGGTCCAGTTCCTGAGAAGAGAAATATGAGAACCTCTACATGCAAGCACGGTGTGGGGAAAAACGGCTGCTCCTGGATTGGAACGGAAGCCAGAACCGGAGAAAAAAAAAAAACAAAAAAAAAAAAAAAAAAAAAAAAATGCGACGAAACCTAGTGAACAACGGCACCAGATGCGTCAATCGAAACTGCAAGAACGGAGGTGATAAAAAGACGCCCCTGCCGATTCCAGGGCCCACTAAGGGTGGGCCCCAGTCATCTGCAGAGACGCTCATGAGATCGCGAGCGCAGCCCGACAGCGTGGTGCCCCCAGCGGAGGTGCTGCTGCAGGAGGCGCGCGGCGGCGAGGACTGCGCCTTCAAGATGCTGGCACAGCTGGTGCAGCTCCCGCTCGAAGCCCGCTGCGGCTGCAGGGGCACGGTGGGGTGAACGCGTGACCGAGCCTTCGCCCTGCGACAGGCTAGCGTGTGGCGCATCTCTGGGTGGCCTGGTGGGCCGAGTTGGGCGGCCAGAAGGTGCGGAGGGCCAATGCGCACCTCATCAGTGCCGACGAGGCCCCCCCCCCCCAGGAGCTGGTGGCGCCACGGGAGCTCCGCAGCGGACGAGCTGGGGCCCATGGGAGCCCAGCCCCGACGAGCCCCTCCGCGGCATGCCAGCAGCGGCCTGCAGGAGCGGGGAGGTCAGCAACTCCGCGGGCCCGAGGTGGGCACTTTGGGACGACGAGGCCGAGCACAGCGGCAATCGGCGAGACGCCAGGGGCGGACAGCCTGGCGGCGGGGCCCCGCGGCGACAAAGGCGGGGCGGAGGTCTGCACGAGGCGCGCGGCCAGGGAGCACGCGGGCGATTGCGAGCAGGCGTGAACCCGCACCCGCAGAGACGGGGGTGGCGGCCCCAGGAGGCCGCGGGTGCGCACCGGAGGGCACGAAGGAGACTCGGCGCGCGGCGCTTTCGCCTGACAGCGTCAGGGGCCAGCCTCGACCCAACATCCTCCTCCTCCTCCTCCTCCTCCTCCTCCTCTCCTCCTCCCTCCTCCTCCTGCTCCTCCTCCTCACCTCCTGTGCCTCTTCTCCTCCTCTTCCTCCTCCTCCTCCTCCTTCCTCCTCTGTGCTCCTCTCCTCCTGCCTGCCTCCTTCTCCACCTCCTCCTCCTCCTCCTCCTGCTCCTCCTACCCTCCTCCGCCGCCGCCTCCTCCCCCTCTTCGACCTCAATATCATCCGCCTCGTCCTGCTCGGCCTCAACCTCATCGCCCTCCTCCTGCTCCTCCTCCTCCTCCTCCTCCACCTCCTGCTCCTCCTCCTCCTCCTCCTCCTCCTCCTCCTGAAACACCTCCGCCTTTTCCTTTCGCTTTGTGTTTGGCGTGACTGCTGTGGCCAATCGACATTGGGTCGATAAGCAGTGTTCTACGCAGGTGAAGCCCCATCGGGGAGCGCGTCTCGATCGATTGGATGCGAACTTCTTGTGGCGCAAGCTTCTTGGCAAAGCTGAGTAGCGCAGCCGCACAAAAAAAGTCGTTTAACTTGGTGGCACATCTCGTAACTGAAAAAACTCAGCACTTCATTCCTTGTCGTGGCAAGCCCACCAGCCGAATCCTTGCAAAACCTTCGCAGGCTGGGCGCCAGGGGAACCGATGGAAGCTCAACTCAAGCGGGAGGGCGTCGAGGCGTGACCGACGCCATAAAGTTCCAGCATCGCCTCCTGCCTGGCTTATGCTCAACAAAGAATAATTGTTCGAGGGTTTCTGTCGAGTGACTCGAACAAGCTCTGCCCGCACGCACTGTTTCGTGCATGCATCTGGGCGCCTGTGCGGGCCGACTTCTGTGCGTGTGCACACATGCAAGCGCGCGTGAACATCTGCATCACATGTTCGCGTACGCGTGCACGTGTGTATACACGCGCGCGCATATGCGCGCGTGCGAGTGCCCGTTCGCACTCGCGCACCCAGCTATGAAATTGTGCGCGGGAGTGCACAATCCATCACGCCGCCCGCACGATTGTGAATGCGTGTGCACATTCGTGTACGAACGGATCCGCGTGCGTGAGCAAGCGAGGGCCCACGCGGCTTGTGCGTGCATGATCGCTTCGAGCTGTATGTGCGGATGTACAGTTCACGTTCCGTCTCCTCCCGCCCAAGAACGTAAAGAACAACGCAGACGCTGCGATGGTTTTGGCGGGAGCTGACATGACATCCAGCTAGCGCATGGTGGTGCACCAGCGCACCGGCTCACTGCAATTAGGCAGACCTAGATTCTACGACTTTACGGAATTGCTTCATCAGGATGAGATGGGGGAAGAGATCAAAGAGGAAAGGAGAGGGAGGGCCAGTGCAGGGCGGGGTGAAGGCGCGAGAAGAGCGGAGAAAGATTGACACAATGGAAAGGAGGGATGAGAGAGCACGCACAGAAGGCAGGGCGGGATGCAATGCTTGAGGGAGGCAGGATTAAAGCACGGACAGAAGATATTGCGGAAGGTAAAACGGGCGAAAGGCGACCGAGCGAGGCGGGACAGCGTGGAGCAGGAGACCCCCAGGGGGGGGAGAACGGCACAGGGAGGGTGGAGCGTGGGAGATGGCCCAGGGAACGCCCCGAGAGAGGCACAGGGCGGGACACGCACTCGCTTGGCCACCAGGGGCACCAAGTGCACGAGCAGCGAAAGCGAGGGAGGGAAAGCGAGGGAGGGAGAGGGCGGGAAAGCGAGGGAGGGAAAGCGAGGGCGGGAAAGCGAAAGCGAGGGCGGGACCTGCGCAGGCGAGGGCGGGAAAGCGAGGGAGGGAGAGGGCGAGAGAGAGAGAGAGGAGGGCCCCACGGCGGCGTTCCAAGCGCGGGCTGGACCGCGTGCCTCCACAAACGCCTACGGCGGGTTCGTGTCGTGCCGACCCCAGCGTTGGTTTTTGACACCGCAGGGATCGTTCAACCTTAAACGATCGGCCGTTCCCGCAACGTCCAATCGTTCAACATCGACCGATTCTGGGTCGCCGGCGGCGTTCAACCTTGAACGCCCGCGCTGGGGTCGCCGCCGGTCGACACGACGCGAACCTACCGTATGCGAACGTTTTCTCATTCGGCGTTTCGACAGTGGGCGGAGGGAGGGTGAGGGGGGGGCCTGGCGCCGGACCTCTGCGTAGTGCGACTGTTTGCGGCAGTGCGCCCTGTGGGGGAGACTCCGCCTGCTCGAGACAGGCGCCAAAAAGCAGCCAAGATCTACTCCACAGGGAGGGGCAGGGGGTGCGAGGGTCC